GGTGTGGACTGTGTCTCACACCATGACACATACACACGTGACTCAGGTGTAGACTGTGTCTCACACCATGACACATACACACGTGACTCAGGTGTGGACTATGTGTCTCGCCCCATGACACATACACACGTGACTCAGGTGTGGACTATGTGTCTCACACCATGACACATACACACGTGACTCAGGTGTAGACTGTGTCTCACACCATGACACATACACACGTGACTCAGGTGTAGACTGTGTCTCACACCATGACACATACACACGTGACTCAGGTGTGGACTATGTGTCTCGCCCCATGACACATACGCCATAAAACACATTATTAATAAATGAGGAAAAGGAAAAATGATTAAAGCAAACAATTATCATTTAATGTATTTCTTTAAAACATACGAAAGTATTATACGAAAAGTTTGACGAAAATATTGTTCGAAGTATATATAACAAATACCATATATCAGTTGATATCAACAAAGTGTTCCAGTGTTATAAGCCCACAGTGTTGATAGTCTCGTAATAGGGGCCTCGTAGCCTGGTGGATAGCGCGCAGGACTCGTAATTCTGTGGCGCGGGTTCGATTCCCGCACGAGACAGAAACAAATGGGCAAAGTTTCTTTCACCCTGAATGCCCCTGTTACCTAGCAGTAAATAGGTACCTGGGAGTTAGTCAGCTGTCACGGGCTGCTTCCTGGGGGTGGAGGCCTGGTCGAGGACCGGGCCGCGGGGACACTAAAGCCCCGAAATCATCTCAAGATAACCTCAAGATAGTTAATTGAAGGGTTATCAAAACTAGAGAGAGAGATTTAAGCTCATTGATCCACGACACAGTTTACCAGAAAGATGCACTTCGTATACAATTATTAATAAAGAGTTTCAGGTTATAACAAGAGAGGAACTCAGATATCATTCCATACAAAGGTAAATATATTCACTAAATTTATCCCATAGTCTTTATCCGGAGGCCTGGTCGACGACCGGGCCGCGGGGACACTAAGCCCCGGAAGCACCTCAAGGTAGCCTCAAGGTAGGTAGTCCACATACAACCATTTTAGTACGCTGGTCTACTGTGAAATAATACCGCTAGATAATGCCACCACTCTGGCACTGTGAACGGTGTAGGCACGCTGGCACTGTGGAATGGTGTAGGCACGCTGGCACTGTGGAATGGTGTAGGCACGCTGGCACTGTGGAATGGTGTAGGCACGCTGGCACTGTGGAATGGTGTAGGCACGCTGGCACTGTGGAATGGTGTAGGCACGCTGGCACTGTGGAATGGTATAGGCACGCTGGCACTGTGGAATGGTGTAGGCACGCTGGCACTGTGGAATGGTGTAGGCACGCTGGCACTGTGGAATGGTATAGGCACGCTGGCACTTTGGAATGGTGTAGGCACGCTGGCACTGTGGAATGGTGTAGGCACGCTGGCACTGTGGAATGGTGTAGGCACGCTGGCACTGTGGAATGGTGTAGGCACGCTGGCACTGTGGAATGGTGTAGGCACTCTGGCACTGTGGAATGGTGTAGGCACGCTGGCACTGTGGAATGGTGTAGGCACGCTGGCACTGTGGAATGGTGTAGGCACGCTGGCACTGTGGAATGGTGTAGGCACGCTGGCACTGTGGAATGGTGTAGGCACGCTGGCACTGTGGAATGGTGTAGGCACGCTGGCACTTTGGAATGGTGTAGGCACGCTGGCACTGTGGAATGGTGTAGGCACGCTGGCACTGTGGGATGGTGTAGGCACGCTGGCACTGTGGAATGGTGTAGGCACGCTGGCACTGTGGAATGGTGTAGGCACGCTGGCACTGTGGAATGGTGTAGGCACGCTGGCACTGTGGAACGGTGTAGGCACTCTGGCACTGTGGAATGGTGTGGGCACGCTGGCACTGTGGAATGGTGTAGGCACGCTGGCACTGTGGAACGGTGTAGGCACGCTGGCACTGTGGAATGGTGTGGGCACGCTGGCACTGTGGAATGGTGTAGGCACGCTGGCCCTGTGGGATGGTGTAGGCACGCTGGCACTGTGGAATGGTGTAGGCACGCTGGCACTGTGGAATGGTGTAGGCACGCTGGCACTGTGGAATGGTGTAGGCACGCTGGCACTGTGGAATGGTGTAGGCACGCTGGCACTGTGGAATGGTGTAGGCACGCTGGCACTGTGGAATGGTGTAGGCACGCTGGCACTGTGGAATGGTGTAGGCACGCTGGCACTGTGGAATGGTGTAGGCACGCTGGCACTGTGGAATGGTGTACGCACGCTGGCACTGTGGAATGGTGTAGGCACGCTGGCACTGTGGAATGGTGTAGGCACGTTGGCACTGTGGAATGGTGTAGGCACGCTGGCACTGTGGAATGGTGTAGGCACGCTGGCACTGTGGAATGGTGTAGGCACGCTGGCACTGTGGAATGGTGTAGGCACGCTGGCACTGTGGAATGGTGTAGGCACGCTGGCACTGTGGAATGGTGTAGGCACGCTGTCACTGTGGAATGGAATCATAAAGTAAATTCAACTAAGCAGGAGGTCTCTCAGAGCCTCATTTTTTTTTTTTTTTTTTTGAGATATATAGAAGAGTTGTTACATTGTTGTAGAGCCACTAGTACGCGTAGCGTTTCGGGCAAGTCCTTAATCCTATGGTCCCTGGAATACGATCCCCTGCCGCGAAGAATCGTTATTTCATCCAAGTACACAGTTTACTGTTGCGTTAAACAGAGGCTACAGTTAAGGATTTGTGCCCAGTAAATCCTCCCCGGCCAGGATACGAACCCATGACATAGCGCTCGCGGAACGCCAGGCGAGTGTCTTACCACTACACCACGGAGACTGTTAATAACATCTTCATCAACATCATCATAACATCTTCCAAAGCCTCACGCAGCCTAGAGCACACCAACACATCAACATACTGTACTGGTTTAATAGTGGCAGGAGATATGGAGACAAATCCTCGGGAACATCTAGGTAAATTGGGGGGCATCTTCGACAAGCCGGTGGATTCCTGCCCCCGTCGAGGCCACTAGTGGCGGCGCCTATCGGGTAAATTCAGGTAAAATTATCTTGGTGCACGACATGCCTGTTCGTCAGATGTTCCCAGTCTATTGAAGCCGGTCGGCCGAGCGGACAGCACGCTGGACTTGTAATCCTGTGGTCCCGGGTTCGATCCCGGGCGCCGGCGAGAAACAATGGGCAGAGTTTCTGGGGGGTAGAAATAGCCTAAGCTACTCTATCCCTTTGAGATGTATTTATTGCTTATCTCAATAAACATACTTGAACTTGAACTTGAATCTAAGTGTATCCCTCATGCCTGGATCTTGCCTCTATCTCTCCACCGGCTTCTCTCCACTCTACTCCCTCAACACTTAGTGTCCGGGAGACATCTCCCGTCACGCAGGGTGCAGTCGCACCTCCACAGATCTCCAGTATCACCTCTTGATACTGGTAATGGCTCAAAAGGGCCACCACTTACGGGCTATTCATGCCCGTGCCATCTTTTGGGTGGCTTAATTTTCATCAATCAATCAATCATTTAGCCTCGTACTTGATTAATAATTTCCTATTAACTGATAAATTCCATTAGGAATTAATCAGTGTTAATTGATTAAGAATCCCATTAAAGTTGTATATTAGTCAAAAATGCACATTTCAAGCACAGTGTGTCGCGTGGAAAGTTGAATTAACATTTCCGAGTCATGGCATTTTAGTTTTTAAAATATTTAGCACTTGTGTTATGCCTGATACATGTTCATGCGCGCATAGGCCTTCGTGAGGTAGATTATTACATTCTCCGACCCTCTTCTTAGACCCGAGACGACCCTTACTCCGGAACGACACGCAATGGTGGGTAGTTATCTTGAGATGATTTCAGGGCTTTAGTGTCCCCGCGGCCCGGTTACCAGGCCTCCACCCCCAGGAAGCAGCCCGTGACAGCTGACTAACACCCAGGTACCTATTTTACTGCTAGATAACAGGGGCATAGGGTGAAAGAAACTCTGCATATTATTTCTCGCCGGCGCCCGGGATCGAACCCGGGACCACAAGTCCAGCGTGCTGTCTGCTCGGCCGACCGGCTCCCAGTCGGCCGAGTCAAATAAACAAGTCTAAATACTCTTTATTCTAGTTTACCTCATCCATAAAGTAGACTCATCTAGAGGTCGGGTACAATGGACGAGGCAGGTCATCTCAACCCGTGAGACAGGACTTGAAAACTTGCATAACAGAACTAAACGTTCTCATACAACTCAATGATTCAAATATAAATGTTGAACCAAACATGAATCTATTATTGACAAATTAACAAGGAAATAGTTTATGGCTTGACTGTTTTCTGAAGACTTCCGTTGTTGTCTCGTAATCTTCAATAAACCACGAGTATTTATTTATTTATTTTATTTATATATAGAAGAGTTGTTACATTCTTGTAGAGCCACTAGTACGCGTTGCGTTTCGGGCAGGTCCCTGGAATACGATCCCCTGCCGCGAAGAATCCTTGTTACAACCAAGTACACATTTTACTGTTGAGTTAAACAGAGGCTACAGTTAAGGATTTGCGGCCACTAAATCCTCCCCGGCCAGGATACGAACCCAGGCCAAATCGCTCACGAAGCTTGGGGCGAGTGTGTTACCACAGCGCCACAGGGACTACACTACCAGCCTCAGTGTGCTGCTCCCACCATACCTGGGGAGAACCCGCACTTGAAAATAATTCTATACATTTGTGTGTAGTGCAGCAGGGCGCTGGTTCTGTACGATAACTCTGTTAGATCAAAGTGGCCAAACGCCATTAATCAAATTATCAGAAAATAGCCTAGTTAACTGAAACAATCAATAACTAAAATAAATAATTACTTATATTCAATTATTTTCATGCATAAATTAGCAAGATATAAAATTTAACGTACGTGAGTTTGGGGTTAAACCCCCGTAGTATGGCCATAGTTTTTGGTGGGAAGAAAATGGTTAGTGACATATAATTTATGTATTAATATGGTACCACTTAATACATTAAAACAGTCACAACCGCCCTGAAGAGGAACGGCTGTGCTTCACACACGTACTACAAACACAAATAATCGCCAACAGAACCTAAACACCTAACCTAACCTAAACTAACCTAACCAACCTAACCTAACCTAACCAACCTAACCTAACCTAACCTAACCAACCTAAACACCTAACCTAACCTAACCAACCTAACCTAACCTATGAATATATATGCACAATATGCTATATATACTATAATATTAATTTATATTTGAGAAAATTCCTGTTTTGAGTGAAATACATGTAAAAAGTTATGAATTCATCTGTGGGGTCGACCGCTGGATGTAATGGACTTGAGTCGAGGACGGGTTGCACGTTTTATTTTTTTTTGAAGTCGCAAAGAGGAACTTCAGAGGCATTGAGTGGGACTTCAAGTAGCAGCAAATATTGAATAGACTGCAGGAGCACCTGCCTGATTCGAGGAGCCAGAGACAGATGTTCTTAGTGGTGGCCCTCAGGACGTTGAACAGAGAATTGTATGGACACCTTGATATGTATGAGGCAGTACTTGACTGTATATTGGCAAGTGACAAAATGAAAAGCGAGAAAGTTATTGAAATTGAATTTGAAATAAGTTTATTGGGGTAAAATACACACAAAGGGATGAGGTAGCTCGAGCTATTCTCACCCCGTTCAGTACATCGTGTTAATACATACATAGACACACTTCACAAGCAATAAACATATTACCGAACATTCTGAGAGATAAACATATACATTTCCCGAGAAAGTTATGTATTTCTTGAACAACGCCACAAGGGCCGTGACGAGGATTCGAACCCACGTCCGAGATCATCCCAGACGATCGACTGAGCTAATCCCTTGTGGATTTGTTCATTTATGCATCACGCTATTGTGATTTCTGTGAGTAGTGTATTATGTATTTGCTGGATATTTTTTTTATATGCTAGTTATTCAACCCCCCAAGCAGTGAGGAGGCAGTAGGCTGTGGGCCGAAAATTGAGCAGCAGCCTAGTGCAGTTTATTGACGAAGTCTTGATATAATATTAGTGTTGCCGGGTTGAGGCAGTCGAGGGTACTCTACTCTAATGTTATATTCTTCCTTTTAATGTGTTTTCATGTAACAAATGTTTGTTGACAACTGATTTTTGGCCTGTGTCCTGGTGAGGTTTCATATATTATATAATATAATATATGAACAAATGATGATATATATATAACAATATGAGAGAGAGAGAGAGAGAGAGAGAGAGAGAGAGAGAGAGAGAGAGAGAGAGAGAGAGAGAGAGAGAGAGAGACAGAGAGAGAGAGACAGAGACAGAGACAGAGACAGAGAGAGAGAGAGAGAGAGAGAGAGAGAGAGAGAGAGACAGAGACAGAGAGAGAGACAGAGAGAGAGACAGAGAGAGAGACAGAGACAGAGAGAGAGACACGGTTGCAAATTGGTTGACAGAGGTCAGCAACATCACGAAGGGGAATTAGAAGATCATCCCATAATAAGGAGTGTGAGGGGGAGTCACGGCGGCTCGACAGGGTGTGTATTCATGACCAATAGGCCAGATTGGAGCCGTTTCCCCAAATAAAGGTGACGTTGAACCCATCTCCGAGTATACAACGATTCCAGGAAGATCTTCCAATATGCACTCCTGTGTCCTTTACTGACTGACAGACGACAGCAGCAGTGTGGTTGTAGTGGTTGGTCTTATTTTATCAGGGAAGTGGTTGGGGTCACTGTTCACTAGTAAGTAAAGTTCAGTATCAAGTTTATAAAATCTCTGACCCCTGATAACAACCAGTTTGCCCAAAGTATTGGAGAGTACATAACGGACAGGAAATAGAGTAGACACCAGCAGCATTAGAAGCAGAAGTGTGAACCAGATTACTACGAAGAGTGTTAGTTTGTCAAAAGGCGAGCTTTATGTCAAGAGGACGAAAGGTATTAGTAAGAGTTTTGAGTTCAGATGTAAAGGGAAGGCAGAGCACAGTGGCACTTGTGTTCGAAACCGGTTTGGAATTAAGGACATTTTGTTTAGGTTGAGAGTAGGCACAGTTGATAAAATATAAAGGGTAACCATGGCGAGAGAGACTTGTAGATAAAGGCAATTTCAGAATCAAGAAACTGAGGGTCGCTGATGCGTAGAGCGCGGAGGAAGAGAGAGACGAGGACACTTTTCTTAACAGAAGGAGGATGGTAGGAAAAGAAGTGAATGTACATGCCACTATGCATGGGTTTACGGTAGACAGAGAAAGAGAACCCGGGCACAGACCTGTGAACATGAACATCAAGAAAAGGAAGGAGGGAATTAGATTCCCATTCAACTTTGAAATGGATAGAAGGAGCCAGATTGTTAAGAGAGGACAGGAAAGGCTGGAAAGGACTAAGGTCATGAGGCCATAAAGCAAAAATATCAACATAGCGAAGCCAGAGAGAGGGACGAGTATCAATAGAAGGAAGGTGAGCGGTTTCAAAATATTCCATGTAGAGATTGGCAAGAACA